ATTTGGCCATTTTGTATCAGATAGTCAAACCAATATATCTAAGTCATGATGTATAATGAATATATAAATGAACGAAATCAGTTAAAGCATGGCAGAGATATGGCACTAGAACTGCATTCATTAAAACAAAATGGCCACCAGTCAGCCATTTTAAATCCGATCTGAAAAAAATAATGATGTGCATCAAGGTCCAATAATGTCCAACGTATGCATCAAAATGCTTGATTTTGATGATTTTTCAGCACAAAAATAACCACCATTTGGCCATCTGAAATTAGATCATGAAACAAATTGATGTGCATATGTATCATACCATATTATGTATGATGTATGCATGAAGTTTGAATGTGATTAGCATTTTTAGAAATGGTTTTTGTGGATCCACTAAACACAGAGAAAACCTCACCATATGAGCACATTATTACTGTCATCGCAGAGACAGACATATTCCTGCTACTTACCAGGTCTTCTAAGTTAATCAATGATCCTAGTTCATCCCCCAATTCACACAGTTCATTATGCTGCACATGTAACAATACTAAGTTGACAAGTGAGAACAATTCACTGGGTAATGATACAAGTTTATTGTGGCTGTGAAGTACAAGTACATATTATTCTGATATTATATATTAATAATTCATAGGTAATATGATCATATATGGTTATTAAATATAGCTCAGATCAAGAGCCAAATGACTTCAATAAAGCACTGGTTGAATGTCTATTTGCGATAGTGCTCCAGATATAATATTTATGCATTTTTAATGAAGTCACATGACCATATATAGTCATGACAGTGCTACAGATATGATATTTATGCATTTTAATTCAATGATGTCACATGATCATATATGGTCATGACAGTGCTAGAGATATGATATTTATGCATTATTAAGTAGATCACCTGACCATATATGGTTTTTAAATATGTTGATCAGACCATGAGGTGAATGTCAAAACAGCACAGGTTGAATGTCCAATAATGCTCCAGATATGACATTTATGCATTTTTAATGAGGTTACATGACCATATAAGGTCATGACAAATATGTTGATCAGATATAGTGTGCAATGTCTTCAATATGGACTGATGGATACCGGTAACCAATATATCCCCTGTTAACATTGTACCAGGGCATAATAATTAAAGGATGTCTTTTGTTTCCTTATGGAGTGTAAAATTGACATGCGGAAAACAAAAACAGGGTTAATGCATTTGATTGTTGCACAAAAGCACAACAACTCGGTGTCCTTCTTAATTATACAAATGTATTTGCTCATGTAGCAATGTATGTCTGTAAAGGCATGGGAAAAACATCGCATTTTTTTGTTTCGTTTTTGTTTTATTTTTTCTCACTGTACTTTTTATCCGATTCTTTTTATTAGTAACCATTTCTCTTCCTCTGGGGATTGAGTTAAGTGTTGATAAAGATTGAATAATTGTATTATGCAGTACTAGTGACAGAATTGTTCAACTTCAAATTTGTTGTATTTGACACACAAAATTAAATCCTAGCTTGCACTATTGCACTTTATTAATAATCATTTCCGATACTAGGTGTCACTCCGGACTTTAATAGACAATATGGGAAATAATTTCAGTTGAATATCATACCTGAGATTAAGTCGCTGCAGATTTGATAATTCACCAATTGTCTCAGGCAATGAAGAGAGCTCATTATCGTGGATCTAATATTCAATATGAAAACAAATAATTAGAGTCAGAAACTGGCCTTTGCCCTCAAATAGTGTCCTATATTCTCTCCAGTCATTGTGTCCAATGTTCTACATATCATGGTTACATACATCAGTAAAACAAATAGACTTGCTTGCAGTCTTGAAAAACAAGCCATGCATGGCACAGTCCTCGTT